GACTTCTGAATGTGCCTTTCAAGCGTTCAGTACTTCGCAGATTCATTCATTGATTCATTGTTTGTATTATCCTCGGCGAGAAAAGGTCTTAGACGTGATCATGGTGTTTTTTAGGCGAGATTCTGGAAGAATCGAAGGCACTGATGTGGAAGTGGGCAGATCCTGGTGTGCAGACGGTGATTCGCCGTGAAATCACCTACGTTACACCTCGGCATCAACGAAAAGGCATCGCCAAGTATCTGCTACACCTTGGACTCGATTTTGAAGCGTTGAGGGTAACTTAATCAAATGTTGTTAAAGTGTAAAACCATGACGTCAATCGGTCTCACTAAAATCCGCCTTGTATTCGACTATCGTCAAAACCGTGTGGCAATTCCATGTGCATTTAGTCCAAGAAACGAATTTAGAGCACATTTCAAGATTGAATAGGTGTGGGTTTTTGGGTGAAAAACTAAAAAGTTTGGACCGATAAGTCAAGCAGCGACGAAGAAAAGCAGGAAAACTGCTGATTATCCTCAAAATTACAGTGCGCGCTGATCATAAGGGTGTGGTTGCGCTCCGCACCATGGGAGTTCCATTGGATGGTTCACCTCTTTAGCGTTTTGAGCCATATCAAAGAAACGGCTAAGCAATGAGTGGGGAAGAAGCAGGGCTCAAAGGCGGGGACGAGACCATACCCGCCCATATCTTCAGCTCCATTTGATTTTAAGGACCCTTAGCTTTTGCCTCTCATTTGAATACTGCGCCTAACCCGTTCCCGTAGATAGTCCCAGTCGAAAAATTCCATATCAGATTAACTGCCGCAGTCGTCAGAGTGAATCCTCTTCCACAAATAAAAAAGTAAGGCGCTGACAGCTTCTTTTGGAATGCTCCACGCTTTCAACATCCATTCAGAATTTTGGTGGTGATTAAACCATGTTTGGCCTGTTCTCTGACTTTCACGGAGCCATCTGAATTGCAAGTAGGTGTTTCTATCACATCAAACGATGCCTGAAGGAGTTTTATGGGCGCCACCTCATACCAACTCATCTCCTGGCTTTCAAGAAATCTGGAGAGTATTTAAAGCAACAGTCCCAGCAGGGTTTTTACCTTCGACACTAATGGTGTGGAACGATGCGCTAGCCCTAGTCAAGAACATAAGAAGTGTGACTGAACAAAAAACTCACCTTGGAAAGCCGCTAGAAAGGGAGCTGAACGGCTTCGAAGTGGGCGTGGTTGGAATCGGCCGAGGGATTGCAGCCGACTGAGCAACCACGCCCACTTCGAAGCCGTTCAGCTCCCTTTCTAGCGGCTTTCCAAGGTGAGTTTTTTGTTCAGTCACACTTCTTATGTTCTTGACTAGGGCTAGCGCATCGTTCCACACCATTAGTGTCGAAGGTAAAAACCCTGCTGGGACTGTTGCTTCGAGTGATTTTCGCAAAACTTATGCCACATTATAGACAGTACTTTCAAAGGGAAAATCAGGAATGATTCTATTTCAGAAGCAAGGATTCCACGGGATCACGTCAGAAGCTTCGTCGCTGGCGAATCAGATGTTGCTAGCGAACAACGGCTACACTTGCATAGGAAAGCCGAAGTACAAACTCGAAATGCACGATGGCAATGAAGGAGTCAAAGTGTTCTTCTTGGACCTCAGAAAATGAGTCTAGCTCTCTAGAATAACGTGGTCCACCCACCTCTGCATGCTGTTGTTGAAACCACATTGTCCAAATTCAGAAATCAAAGAAATCCCAGATACAGTTCATATCTCGAAGCCTGATTGTTGCGGCCACGGCACTTGATAGATGTCTTGTGGATAAGAAACCCCGCGGATATCAGCAAAGCGTGCGGAAGCAGCTAGCCGCGCAACTTCTATCAAGTGCGGTGACTACCGCGTCATTTCCGGTGACACGCCCAATCAGGGGCCGTAAGGTATGCTTCCCCGAAGGGTTGGGGGACGAAAATCCTTTAAATTTTCTCTGTCTTCCCAACTGGGATTGTCCTGATAAAGGGCCTACATTTAATATGTGTGTAGGTTAAAGTAAACATGCACTGAAAATGAAGAAACAGTATCGTTCAAAACAGAAGGGTTTTCGTCCCCCAATTATTCGGGAAGCATCCCTTACGGCCCCGGAGTTCGAGATGTGGACTGTATGCAAGCCCTAAGACTTGGTCTGCAGCTGCAGACGTAGCCTCCTGAGTAACTATCGCTATGAAAGCAACTTTTCATAGATCATGCATCTTTTTCGGACTTTTCCAAGAGAGGTAATCGCTTAAATACAACTACTTGGGCATCGTCGTGAGAGCACTCAGAGAAGGAA